ATGCCCAGACCCCCATTGTCCCCATCGTCGCTGGGGTTAGCGGACAAGCAGTGTTAGGATCCGCTGCCTGGCTCCAAGCCCTGGGAGCTCCCCATCTTCAGTGGGGTTAGTGGACAAGCGGTGTTAGGATCCGCTGCCTGGCTCCAAGCCCCCCAGAGCTTCAGCCAGGCATAAATATTTCAGGGGGCTTGGCAGTTTTGTAATAACCAGCAACAAAGATAAACACTGGGAAGAGCAATATTTTTCCATGTGGGCTGGAGGAGTTTAATATTTTATCACTTAGAGCACAAAATATTTATGAACAATCTCATGTCAATCACTGGCTGAGGACTAACCATGACCTTTCCAAGCCACGGAGGACATGTCCCTACCACGGAGGGACAGCCGGGTCTCCCATCCCTTGCATCTGCATCCTAAGTCCCAGTTTCGGGCCACCATGTCCAACTGCTGGGCAACAAGCCCCGGGCTGCCAGAGGCACCAGGGCAGTGGGGCAGGGTAGGGGCTGAGCTCTGGCAGGCAGGCGAGGTGCTCCAGCAACCGGCATTGCCCCAGGGCACCATGGCGGGGATGTCCAGGCTGCTCTCTCATCTCCAGCTGGGAAACAGGGAACTGAGACCAGCATGGGCAGCTCTAACTGCCCTATGGCTGTGGGATCAGGCAGATGGGATGCTGGGGAAGGCGCTGAGCAGGCAGGCTGGCCAATCCTACCACAGGAGGAGTTCAGTGCGGAAACTGGTTTTACTTTCAGCGAGCTCCCAAGAGGAGCAGGGATGCCACTTCCCTTCCACTCAGCTCAGCCCAGCAGCTGGGATCCTTCCCCGCTTCCCAAGGCCTGCAGCTTGCAGAAGCCGCGGACAGTCCCTGTGGTCCCGCTGGGTTGGCTGTGCAGGCAGCAAACTGAGCAGTGGGGGTGCAGAGCCCTCAGGCAGCTCCCCAGCTCGGTGGGGGGACATGAGGGGCAGCCCACCGTCAGCCTCTCCCTACAGCCCGCTCCCCACCGCGAGGCAGGACGGCGCGATTGGCAGGCCAGGGAGGAAAAGCATCCACTTTATTACAGACCCCAAAAGCGCCCGCGGCAGTGCCAGGAGGACCAGGTTTATGCGGGATGTTTCCATTTTTCAGCAAGGGGAAGAGAAGAGGGGCACAAACCCAACCAACTCTACTCACAGCTCTTTGGTGCTAGAAAACACATGGTGGTGCAGCAGAGAGAAACTGTGGGTAAAGGGGGCACCGCCAGTGATGAGGGGGGACACCTCTACCCCAAAAGCGCCCGCGGCAGTGCCAGGAGGACCAGGTTTATGCGGGATGTTTCCATTTTTCAGCAAGGGGAAGAGAAGAGGGGCACAAACCCAACCAACTCTACTCACAGCTCTTTGGTGCTAGAAAACACATGGTGGTGCAGCAGAGAGAAACTGTGGGTAAAGGGGGCACCGCCAGTGATGAGGGGGGACACCTCTGCCACCCACCACCACCCCCCAAGATGCCTGCAAGGAATTTGCGACGCACCTAGAGACAAAAGAACAGCAAATGCATTTCACTGTCCTCCCCGCTCCAGCTTGCACCTACCCCACACTGCTGAGCACCACCAGAGACTCCCCCACCACCACTTCCCAGCATCCCCGAAATGGCGAAACATCCTTTCTGCAAAGAGGGAGAGTAGGTCTTGGGGAGAATCAGTGACCAAAATCTCTTGGCTGAAGAGGAAAGAGCTGGGAAAGGCGACTGGTTCCCAGTAACTCAGATCCCAGCGGAAGGTGAGGCAGCCAGCTCTCCACTTCACTCTTCTCCTCTCTCAGCAGCAATGGGCTCTTTGGTCCACTTTTCTGTGACCTCCTGGTTGCCCGCGTAGCCCACACCAGGCAGCAGGCTGGGGGTTCCCTCCCCATCCCCAGTGACCTCCAGGTCCAGCTCCTCGAAGGAGGAACCGCTGGCTCCCGCCTCGCCGTCGCGCGGGCCGACTCGCTGTAGCTGTGCCCGCTGCGTTTGTCGGCCTCCTCCCGGCCACGGCTGGCAGGGAAGGGCAGTAGGATGGAGGTGGCCACCGAGGTGTCTCTGCTGTCGGGTGTGGCCTCCATGCTGATGGAGCTCGTCTCACTCATGGTGTCGGCCCCTGGGACAGAGAGAGAAGCGAAGGGAGTGAATGCTGCAGGAAGGAGGCGATGGGGATGGAATGCCACAGCCTTCAAAGCCACTGGAAATCTCAGAGATGTCCAGTCACAGTGGAGGCCAGCTCCTGCCTCTTGTCATCTCCTTTGTCTTTGAGAAGTGACTGGGCCAAGACAAGCATGAACTGGATTCGAGCAGCTCCGATATCAGGGTATCCCCTAACTGGCAGAAACAACCCCAGGCTTTTCTGCCATGGCCTGACCTCCTGGCCATGGCCTGGCCCCACTGCTGCTCTCCATTCACACACCAAGGACCTGACAAGCCCTTCCTTAGGGAAAATGCCTGGCCTGGGAGCTGGGGGACAATCCTACCCCTCGCACGGCCCTGGGAACAGTGGAGGAGTGGGAGGCTGTGCTGCCAGGGTGGTGGGGAGCTGCAGCATTGCTTGAGCACCCAAGAGGAAGGTGGCATGGAGGCAGGTTCTCGGATGTGCCGTCACAGGCACACGTAAGTCCAGCCTCACGCCAGGGTACCCAATCCCGCCTTCAGGACCCCCCACGCCAGGGTACCCAATCCTGCCTTCAGCACCCCCTACAACCCGTCCTCACTCCCTGTGGGGCTGCCCCACAGCCCTCAGCTCCAGCAGCAGGCGAGGCAGGGCAGATGGGACTCGGGATGCCAGAGGATGAGGGAGCCTTCCCAGCTCACTTGGGACTTCTCCATATCACCCAGCCACCAGCCCACACACCCTTCTTGTGGATGAGTCCCTCTATGGGCAGCCCCTGCCTTCCCCAGGAGGACCCCTGGGCCCACTGCCCCCTCCCCGCATCCCTGCCTCATTAGCTCGGTTGACAGCGCAATTAAGGAGTCCACGAGAGGAGAATGTCAGATTGAGACCAGCAGCTCGGTGCTGTTGCCGGAGCAACCAGCCAGGAGATAAAACCCTCCTGTAAAACATTAATCATTGTTAACTATGACATCATAGGTCCACACAGTTAATTATGACATCACAGATCATGTCTCTGATTACGACATCGCAGATCGATGTTGTTAATTATGACGGCAACAGCAAACACTGGGCGGGCTGGGTTCCTCCATCACTGCCCTCCCCACTCCATCCTCTTCCCGCCTGCACCAGCGGGAAGCGTGTGCTGGGCTCAGCTGCTTCCCAGCACCTACACCCATGCCAGGAGATTCCTCGGCCCAGGAGGGAAAACAGGAGTCCTGCTCGGCAGTGGCACCACTGGAGGACCATGGGTAGCCACCGGTGGGGCAGGGAAGCAGCAGAGGATGGTGATGACTCCTGAGGGGCTCCCAGGTGGGAGCAGAGAGCCGTGCCCTCTCCTTCATGCTGCCTCTTGCCACTGCAGCTCCATCCTCAGCTGGCACAGGGCTGCCTCGCGATTCCACAGGCATCTCCAGCCTCCCTGGGCTCCTGCAGCTGGGGTGCCTGGGGCTGGGCTGCTCGCCCTCCTCCAGACACCAATCTCCTGGAGCAGGCTCGCCGGCAGGGAACTTTCCTCCCAAACACTTCGATCCCTTTTGTTTTTGCTGATTTCTTCCCGGCCTGGGCAGCTGCCAGCAGAACTGCTTGTAAATGGCAGTCCTCTGCCTTCTAAGCGGCATCATCCCACGGCCCTGCCGGCTGAGTGAGGGCTGTCTGGAGAGGAGCAGCCGGGAAAGACCCACAGACACAGCGTAGCCGCTGTTTCAGCCCCGTGGATGGTCTATGAGCTTCATCTTGCTCAGCAGGTGCCCAGCGAGGAGCCTGAGCCTCCACCCACTCGCCTGGGCTGTGGCATGCAACCCCTTCAGCAGTTGGCACAAACCTAGCCCCAGGCTGCCCACCCAAGCAATGTCTGGAGACACCCCCCCCCCCCCGCCATTAAAAAGAGAAAAGGGCCATTGCCCGCTGACATGCACCGCCTTTGCTGCAGCATCAGCGAGCACCTCGACATGGAAACTACATTTACTCTAAGTTAAAAAGGATGTTCTGCACGGCAAGGCACTTGCCGAAGGGGACGGCGGCCACTGAGTGGGCGGCAGAAAGGTGGGAGATGCTGTCCCACCCAGCAGGACCTCAGCAGGGCAGTGGGTCAGCAGGGGGGACCGCTGACATGCACCGCCTTTGCTGCAGCATCAGCGAGCACCTCGACATGGAAACTACATTTACTCTAAGTTAAAAAGGATGTTCTGCACGGCAAGGCACTTGCCGAAGGGGACGGCGGCCACTGAGTGGGCGGCAGAAAGGTGGGAGATGCTGTCCCACCCAGCAGGACCTCAGCAGGGCAGTGGGTCAGCAGGGGGGACCCCAGGAAGATGGAGAGTTGCAGCGGACAGAGGGGAGTGAGTGGCCCCCAACCCTTGAAGACAACTAAAGGTTTGCAAGGCCTTCAGCGGGAAGCTCGGAAAAAAACCAATCCAATTTGGCCAAATTGGTGGCCCAAGGTGACACAGGCACATTCCCACCATGGCTTCATGACAGCTCACATCATTTGTGGTCATCTCATGTCCCTCTGACATCTGGGACAAGCATGACCCCAACTCCTGAAGCCATGCCCTCCACAGCACCCTCCCAGGTCACCCCGGTGGCTGTTTCAGCCGAGAAGCCATCACACAACCCTGTGCTATAACGAAAGGAGCTCCTGGGGAGAGGAGCTGCAGCTTGGGAAGGGGAAGATGGGGACGAAGCTGACCCATACGTGCCAGTGCGGGAAAGCACCGCCGTCCTCACTCCTGCGGCCGCCTCCCTCTCCCTCACTCCAAGGGCGACAATAAATCGAGTCCTGTTTCGTTCCATCCAGGCACTTTTTCACCGCTCTGTCACTTCTGATCATGTTTGAGCAGCCTCAGCTGGCAAATTTGCCCATTTCAGCAGCCTTGCTCTCCTCTGCGCAGGACAAGGCTGGCTCTGGCACGGCCACCCAGCCTGGCCTGGCCGGGGACGGATGGCGGGGGTGGGCAGGGGGAGAGATGGAGCCACTGCTGCTGGGGATGGTGGGGGATCAGCTCTGGCAGAGGGACACAGCAGGAGCCCCCAGTTGTCCCAGTACAGCCCGCAGGGGCCAGGAAAGGAGGGCAATGGAGGTGCCTTGTGGGCAAGCAGGGGTTCAGCTCTCATCTCACAGAGGTTTCCAGCAGCCCCCACACTGATTTCTTCATCCTGCCCTGGGCAGTCCCCAGCGAGCTGCTTCAACTTCCCAAGGCCAGTCCCTGCTTTGGGAGCCAGCCCAGCAAATGGATCCAGCGTGGCTTTTCCCACCAGCATGCAGCAAGGTGCCGGTCATCCTGTGGAAATCCCCCGGTTCGCTCTGCTCCCCTGAGGACGGTGTAGTCATTCCGCTG